TACGTGCTTCCTCAACTCCATCCTGCAGTGCCTGACGTACATGCCCCCTCTCACCAACTACCTGCTCTCTCGTGAGCACAGCCAGTCATGTGAGGACTTTTAGGAACAGCTCCTTGTAAATCTGTTGGGCACTTCCCAAGGATTCTCACAATCTGGAATTTCATTTAGGAGAAAAGCAGCCCTTCTTTGTCAGCCCCCCAACTTGGTGTTCTTTGGACACTCAACCCTAGAAGCCTCTTGTCCTATCTAGGTGTGTTCATCTTCAGAAAGGCACCACTTTCTAGCCCTGGGTCTCGGACCCTAGTCCTGCAAGTTAAACCCTCTTTGCTTATTGCACAGAAAGCTTCTGTCCATTAAGCACCCCTCTGAAGAAAGCTTTCTGTGCACTAAAATGTCCTGGGCTTGTTGGGACATTGGCACTTTGGGAGGAGTGGAGACTGTCCTTATAATGTCATTAGGTTTCCCAGTGCTATGGCTATTTTGCTAACCTGAGAAGCTTGCTTCCCTCCCTCCGGCCCACCCTCTTCAGGTTGTCAGCAAGGCTTCTGCATGATGTGCGTAATGGAAGCGCATGTTCACAAGGTCCTGCATTCCTCAGCCAGTGCCATCCAGCCGAGGGCTGTCGCCAGTGTCCTCACACGTAAGTCATTTCAGGTGCTTTGACATGGTTCCTTCCCTTCTTGTAGGACAGAACTAGTAACTTCTTCTTTCTTAGGAATAGGAGAACACTTTGAGCTTGGCGTGCAGGAAGATGCCCACGAGTTTTTATGCTATACTGTTGATGCCATGCAGAGAGCTTGCCTGAGTGGAAGCAACCAGTAAGCACAAGCAAATTACCTTTTCAATGTTCCTGAGCCCTTTGGACTCCTTGATGTACTCCCACCAAGGAAACCCTGCGCCCAGGGTTTTCCGACCAAGAAAACTCTTGGAAGAGATAACTCTCTGCCTTACCATTTGTTTCCAGCTTGGACAGCTCTTCTCAAGGAACTACCATCGTCCAGCAAATATTTGGGGGCTTTCTGAGATCAAGAGGTACTTTTTAAAAATATTACTGTTCTTAGAATGATCTGTGGTGCTTTGTTTGTGGTAAACAGCTTCTAGTACGCAGCAGTATGTCCCATGTGTCTAAAGTGGTATGTGTTGGTTGGTGAAATGGGCAGAGTCAGTCTCCTTCCCAGCCTGATAAGCAAATACTTTGCCTTCCAGTAATGTGCTTGAGTTGCAAAGCCGTTTCCGACACCTACGAGGCATTCCTTGATATTCCTTTGGATATCGAGGTAAAGAAGTTTGGAAATTGTGGTGCAAAATGTTTCCAGGTCCCTGCAGGGGCCTAGTTTATCTCCAGTAAACTCTGCTGACTTCAACCTGTGGGCTGTGACCTCACAAGAGCTTGGTGGTGGATGGGGAGGGAACTGGACTTGTGTGCTCCTTCTGGGGAAGCCCTGTAAATGGTCTCCCTGTGCTGGGTGCTGGGTGTCAGCTGAGCAAAGAGTAAGGATGGTACCTACAGCCATGATGACACTGTCATACCACTCTGCTTCGGACTCCCTCAATACATGTCTGATTGCTGGATGGATGGGGTCGATTGCTTGTGTTATTTTTGACCTGTACCATGGACAACTCTGGTACCACCCAGGGGTAGCTGCTTATTGGGACAATGCTGGTACTACACGGGTAGCTATTTCTTGGGATTTTGAGTCCAGGAGCTTAGTGCTCTCCTTTCTTTCTCATCCAGGCAGCCTCCTCTGTCACTGGAGCTCTGGAAGACTTTGTCAAACCTGAGCAGCTGGATGGTGAAAATGGCTACAAATGCAGCAAGTAAGAGTATTACTAATGACATCTTCCCAGCAGACACTGGGTTACGGGACTGCATGGCTGGGAGCACTAGTTCTGTCTTGACTTAATTGAGAAGCCCAGTCATGAGGCAGCTTGGGGTTTTTTTCTTTTTTTTTCTTCCCCATATGACTAATCCACCTGAACAACCTGGAACCTGGAAAATAATGCATTTGTTTCTAAGACAGGTAATTCCTCTCCCTTCTGCCTGAATATGTGGAAAGCTCTGATGAGAATTTGATTCCTGGCATTGTCTGCCCTGGAAGTGGTCAACCTTCCTAGCTATGAAGTTGCCCACTGAACTACCCCTATGGCCAGAAGGGAAAAGACACGTCCCGTGGGCAGTGGTGAGCTGAAGCAAGGAGGAGCTCTGGACAGGCATTTGGCAACAGCAGCGTCTTCAAGAAAGCAATCAACAGTTTCATTTCCAAGGCTTTTTGGATGCTTGCGTCTCTGTCCAGGAGACCTCAGTCCTCGGAGCAGTAGCAGCCCCCACTGGCTCTCTGAATGCTGTCAAGCCTAGTTCTTGTCTTGTAGACTGCGGGCTGCTGCTCTCCAAAGGGAGCCAGCCTAGACCAAAGCTACCTTCACTGAGAGCGTGCGGACTGAAGGGGTGTGGAATGCAAACACGTGCATATGATGGTTGGGCAAAACAAGCCTTAACTCAGCCATCCATCGATGGGGGGCGGAGTAGGGAGAAGATAGGCTGAAACAGTTGGATCTGTGCTTGTTTCAAGGTGTGAACAGCTGGCCACTGCGTCCAAGAGCCTTACAATACATCGTTCGTCCAATGTCCTGACAGTGTGCCTGAAGAGATTTGATGCTTTTCTGGCAGAAAGATTAGCAAGGTATGTTTACAAGTGCACTGCAACTTTGTCTGCTTGGAAGGAGACCTTTCCTGAGGGACAATCCTTTTTTGGAAGTTGTTCGTGTTTGCACGACAGCTATTGAGTGCAGCCATCTAAGGAAAATCAGTGCAATAGCTATGCCTCGCTCTTTCCCCTTTTTTTTAGTTCCAATGTGAAGATAAGCACCTACTGTGCTCGTAAAGAACTGGTTTGGCTGAGAATGGTTTTCTGCCACCTCAATGACGAAATGGCAACACCTGGTTTTGATGAACCCAGAAGATCTCTTTCTATACCTCTAGCCTGTGGTTGGTAACAAGGTTTTCTCAGGCTGCTTCCTAAAGACTCTCAGGATAATTTGTGAGTCTTCTTGCTGTCCCTTTAGGTTGTGCAGTACCCAGAATATTTGGACCTTGGCGCATACATGTCTCAGGCGGGTGGAGAACCGCTCCTCTATTCCTTGTATGCCGTCCTGGTACACGAAGGTTCTGGCTGTCAGGCAGGACACTATTACTGCTTCGTGAAGGTAAAAGTCAGCTCTGTGATTTGCGTTGGTGTATTGTGTCCTGCAGTGGTGTTCTGTCTGTGGTTTTGTTTTAAAACCCCTGCAGTTCATCTGAAGAGAGCGTTGCCTTTCTTTGCAGGCCAGCAATGGATGGTGGTACAAGATGAATGATGCCTCTGTAGGTCTTTGTGACATCAAGACTGTTCTCTGCCAGTGTGCATATTTACTCTTCTATGCCAGGTAATAACAAGCGTGAAGGGGTGTTCAGAATACACTCCCGCTCCTGTTACTGCTCTTGTTGTTGTTGTTGTTCTCCTCCAGTGGGTTTTGCTTTCTGTCCTGGGAAAGAATGACTGTTTGTCTCGTTCAGTTCTCTCTGTTCTGCACTTCGCCTGCTCCTTTCTTCTCCCTCCTTGTCTGGCACTAAACTGTTGTGCTTGTGCAACTTGCTGGCTGTGTGCTCTCTGAGACTGACTAGCTGTGACAAGAGGTGAAAGGGAGGCCTGAGAGGGCACAAAGATGAGTTAGTGCTTGGAAAGGGACAGACATGGCTGGAAGACCATGATCTAATTTCCAGCTTCTAGTTCTGCTTCAGTCTTCGTGGTGTGCCATATCAAGTGCTGCCAGAAAATGATAGGATGAGACTGAAGCCACGAGGAGGCTGCAACAACAGCCCTAGACTAAGATCACCGTTGTTTCTCCAGGCACCATGATTTGACCCCTGGAGCAGGCACTGAATGCCAAGAGACAAAGAGCATTTCCGTGGCAAAGCTGGGTCAGGTGCTGAAGAGTCCATTTTCTGGAGGCACCGTAGCACTGAGAAATCAAGAACATGGAGAAAACAGGCAGAAGATCCAAGGGAAGAGAAAAATGCAGGACTCTGCAGGAGCTCCCCCTCAGCATTGCAGCAGGAAGAGAGTGTGCTCTGACACCAAGCAGGGGAAGAAGCTGAACAGAAGCCAACCAGACTGTCTACCTCCCAGGTGGAGGCACGCTTGCCACGCAGAAACGCAGGAGCACACTCGCCATCAGCTGGTGCACGGCACTGGGAACCTGTGCAGCTCTTCCCACAGGGAGAAGAACAGCCCTGAGAATGGCAGAAGCTCAGGAGGGGAAACTGTGCACGGCTCAAGTGGCCACAGAGCAGACTCGCATTCTGCTTTGGTAGGTGAGCAGCAGCCAGGGAAATCCTCACTTGAACAGCGTGTGCTCCCACCGGTGCGAGTTCACCCAGAGCCTGCAGGCTCTTGCCAGGCAAATGAAAAACAAAGATGCAGAAAGAGGAAACTGTCCTGTGCAGAGGGAGGTGAAAGTGTGCCCGAAAGAAAGTGGCAAAAGACAGAAGTGAGCATTCTGGTGATCCAGAATCGAAAAAGAAATGCAAGAAAGTGAAGAAGAAAAAGAAATCCAAAGAGAACTCTGGAGGGGAGGACTCAGAAGTAAGCAACGTTTGCAGCACCACCAGCAAATGTTGCCTCACTCTTTGCCACGTGTTTCAGGTGCATGGCTTATGGACGTTAAGTGTTCAGTACTTGTGACTGAGCTTGCCATCACAACCTGCAATTTACCATCAAAGGCTGCAGACAAACATTCTCAAAAGAATGCTAACCATCAAACTTGACATTTACAATCAAAACAATAAAATTGCCATCATAACCAGACCCAGTCCTGAGTGGTGCTTCTGATTTCTGTAGAGTGTTTGACCATGCAAGAAAGAACAGAGGGGTTTGGGATTTTTTTTTGAAATTGTGTAACTCGAGACTTCCTTTATGAAAGCACCCTTGTGATCCAGAAGTGTGGAAGCTTTCTACACCTGCTGAGCATATTAAATTAGCATGTAGATTTCTCAGGGAAAAAAATGCCCAGGAACAAAGCATCTCCAGTGCTGCTCGATTAGAGGCTTAGGTCACCTGTGTGTGATTCACGTTGTCTTCTCCCAAGTGTGACATCTGGTGCAAGAGAGACAAGGAAATCAAGGCATTACAAGCATTGCCACTGACGGTCCCCACCAGCAGGGTCATCTTGTTAAGATGATGGGTTTCCACTCTTTTTACTCCTTGTTCTGGTGAAGAAGCTGGTTTCCTGGCAAACCTGGGCAGTGGAGTCTGAGTAAAAAAGACAACACTTCACCCTCAAGATGCTTCTGCAGTGTCCCACAAGAGCTGCAGTTCATACGCCTTCTGGCCTCTTTCCAAGCCTGTCGCAAGGCGTTCTAGATATGAAATTAGTTTCTGAGACAAAACCGAGGCGGAAATGCGTAGGCATTTATCCTCACACAAAGTATAAACCACCTAGCTCCCAAGCCTGCCATGACTCACTGCAAAAGGCGCAAAGGTGCTTCTCCATCAGCATCAGCTTTCATCTCCAAATGCCAGCACGTGGGACTACCGTGACCTCTAGAAATTGAATCCAGCGAGAGAGGCGTTGGGAATGGGGACGTGAGCAGGTACAGGGTCCAGGTGACCAGCCAAGCACAGGAAGGATCTCTCCTGGCAGCAGTCATCCTCAGGTGACCTGTGTAAAAGTCAGTTCTTTGCTGGCCTAGGAGAGAGGCAAGGACACCTTAGCCCAGAATTACCAAGGGAATTTGTTCTCTTTATCTAGCTATGTATATTGCACCTGCATAAAGCTGTTCTCTGTGCCTGCCCTATCATCTTCTCAGGCACATAGGACATCAAAAACCACCTTCACGAATCACACAGAAACTCCTGTCCTATCAGCTCCTCAGCCACCAGTAACATCACAAGCACCTGAAACAGCAACAGGCTGGTTCTGGCCACGAGTGACATCACAGACACTTAAGCGGGCGATGCATCTTTTCCTAGCTGTCTGCTGCTCAGTCACAAGTGATATCGCCAGCATCTGCACAAGTCATTTAAAAACTCCTGCCCTAGC